ACACACACACACACACACACACACACACACACACACACACACACACAAGGAACAGAGTAAACATAGTTTATAGTAATCTAATATAGTGTATAGTAATATAATATACAGTAAAGTGAATATAGTAAAATAATAATGAAAAGTAGGAAGGAGAGGCACTGGAGGGTTTGGAGGAGGAGAATAATAGGGTCATGTGACCCTAGTAGGATCAGAAGGAGAAGGCTGGATGGAGGAGGGTTTGGGGCAGACTTTAGGAGAAAGGGATGATGAAGAATAGTGGAAAGAAGTGAGGAGTATGTGATGAAAGGTGACGGGTGGGATGGGAAGCTTTAAGATACAATAGACAGTATAGCGGAATTGGTGTCAAAGGATCTGGGTTCAAATGCTGACATTGCTACTTCTTTACTATGAGACCTTAGGCAAGTCTCTAGGCCTCAGATTCTTCATCTTTAAGAGAAAAAAAAATGAGGGAGATGGACTGGTGGCAGCTCTGAATCCTTTGGCCCTTCGAGGATAGTTGTTTGATTCATCTAGGGAGCCTAAAGAAATGTGGGGGAGAAGGAGTAGAGAGTGGGATGAAGTTTGGGGGATACTCAGACGAGCAGAAAAGGACCGCTTCAACCCCCAAATGCCCTTCGAAGCCAGGCACCATCCCAGAGCACCTTCTGCTCCTGCCTTCAAAAGGAGTTAACTAGCTAGCATTCCTGGGAACAGAACCCCGTGATGCAGGGGTCTCCCATCCCAGGAAATCCAGTTCTGGGCTTCTTCCAGGAGGGAGCCTTGGGCTAGATTCCTGCACCCCTAGATCTAGGAGTCTTTCCTTTAGGACAACAGGTCCTCCAGGAGCTGGGTCACCAGTGGACTCGATGTAGGCCCTATATCCTGAAGATGAGAGCGTATGGGGGATGGTCTTGGAAGGCATCCGTGAAGAGAAATGCCACCTCCTGCCAGGAGAGGTGGGTGCAGCGAGACCCTTGAGTTAAACAAAAAATCAACTTCACTAGTCAAGATTGGGTTTTTATGACAAAGATTTGGGGAGTTCTTAGTGGACTCCAAGCTTCACGTGTGTGAATTAAGAGGCAGCTCAACCCAGTGAATGGAGCAGTGGACCTGGAGTCCTGAAGACCTGAGTTCAAATCCTGACTCACATGCTTACTAGCTTAGTGTGACCCTGGACAAGTCACTGAATTTCTCTCAGGCTCAGTTTTCCCCATCTGTAAAATGGAGGCAATAACAGCACCCATTTTGCAGGGTTGTTGTAAGAATCAAGTGAGTTAATATATGTAAAGCCCTTTGCAAAGCTTAACGGGGAGATAGAAATGTTTATGTTCTGTAGCCCCCCAAAAGCTAATGGGAGCATAGGCCACAGTAAGATTAGCATGGTGTCTAGGATTCTACCCTTATTAAATACCTGTCGTGTGCCAGCATGGCACAGTGGAGAGAGAGCCAGCCTCAAAGTGGAGAAGAACTAGGTTCTGAGTCCCTCTTCCGACACTTCCTGGCAGTGTGATCCTGGGTAAGTCCCTTCTCTTCTTGGTGAGACACCCAACTGTCTAAGGCTGGCAGACAGAGGAGTTTGTATTTGATCCCAGAGGCCCTTGAAGCTGTCAGCCCCTGGAGCTTCCTGGTGGTTGTAGTGCAAGTGGATAGAAAGAGAATGATGTGAGATGCTGAGAAGGTAGAACTGACCTGACTTGGCAACTCATTGAATATGCACCTGGTAGGGGTGGGGGAGGAGGGAGTCATTCCTCAGTTGAGACTCTGAGTCACTAGAAGGATGGTGGGACCTTGGACAGAAGAAGTAGGAATATTAGGCAAAGACACATAGTAGGGAGGTACTTAGTAAATATTTGTTGGCTTTGGGGAAAAGATAATGAGTTCTGTTTTGTACTCGTTGAGTGTGAGATCCCAATGGGAAACCCAGTTGGAAATGTCCCATAGGTCCCATAGTTGGTAATGTGGGACTGGAGCTCAGCCCACATCTGTAGAACTGGGGTCAGTTCTAGAATGAATATTTTACTATGTTTTATTTGTAATTTTAAAAATAATCATACTTTATTTATTTTAACATCCATTTTTAAAAATCTGAGTCCCAAATTCTCTCCCTCCCTCCAGCCCTTTCCCCGCCCATTGAGAAGGCAAACAATATGATGTCAATTATACATGTAAAGTTATGCAAAACATTTCCGTATTGGCCATATTGGGAAGAAAGAGGAAGGAAGAAAGTAAGGGAAAAAAGGAAAAGAGAGAGAAAAAGAAAGAAAGAGAAAAAGGAAGGAAGGAAGAGGAAGGGAGGAAGGAAGGAAGAAAGAAAGAAAGGAAAGAAGGAAGGAAGGATGAAAGAAAAAGAAAGAAAGAAAGAAAAGAAAGAGAGAGAAAGGAGAAAAAATTATGCTTCACTCTGCATTCGAAGTTTATTGGTTCTCTCCCCCTGGATATGGACAGCATTTTCCTCATGAGTCCTTTCGGAATTGTCTTTTATCATTGTATTGTTCAGAGTAGCTAAGTCTCACAGTTGCTCATTGTTACAATATTGCTGTTACCATATACAATGTTCTCCTGGTTCTGCTCACTTCACTTTGCATCAGTTCATATAAGACTTCCCAAGTTTTTCTGAAACCATCCCCCTCTAGCCTGACCATTTTATTTTTTTTTGTTTTCTTGCTTGACAGCTGGGGTTAAGTGATTTGCCCAGGGTCACACAGCTAGTATGTACTGTGTCTTGTGTGTCTGAGATCGGATTTGAACTCAGGTCCTCCTGACTACAAGGCCAGAGCTTTTTCCACCACACCACCTAGCTGCCCCTAGCCTGGCCATTTTTTTTTTAAAGACAATTGGGGTTAAGTGACTTGCCCAGGGTCACACAGCTAGTACGCGTCAAGTGTTTGGTCTGAGGTCGGATTTGAACTCAGGTCTTCCTGACTTCAGGGCCAGTGCTCTATCCACTGCACCACTGCCCCTAGCCTGACTTTTAAAAGGGAGGACACTGGTAAGCTGGACAGTGTCCAGAGGAAGGTGACCACGGTAGTAAAGGGCAACAGATCATGCCGTATAAGGATGAGTTCAAGGAAGGAGAGATGTTTGGTCAGGAGAAGAGAAGACTTGGGGAGGAGGGGCATTTTAACTGCCATAAAGTATTTGAAAGGCTGTCATGTGGAAGAAATATTAACTTTACTTGGTGGAAGTTGCTGAGATTTTAGCTCAGTATAAAGAGCAACTTCCTAATTATCAAAGCTGTCCCAAAGTGGAATGAAGGGACTGCCTGGGAAGGTAGTGAGTTCCCTTTCTCTGAAGGTCATCAAGCTTTGTGGTTGGCTGACTGCTTGCTGGGTTTGCTGTCTGGATCTGGGCTGGCCTGGTGGGTGCCCAGGCTCCTTCCAGCTCCGACATTCTACAGTTCTGTGACTGAAGTGCTCCCCTTGGGGTCTCACCAGGACAGAATACATTGGGACGGTCACCTCCCTTCTTTGTGCTAGACACTAGGCCTGGGCTGGAAGCACGTAGTTCCCTGGGAGGTGGGAGAGGGGGCATTAGAGAAGCATGGGGTCAGAGCACTCCACAGGGAGTTGTGAAGGTGGAAGAGAAGAACTGGATGAGATCAAGCCACCCCAGTTTCCTCTGCCACTGAGGTCCCTGGATTTATAATCACCAGGCTGCCATGGTGGCAGGGGTATCTACGGTGGTCTGGTGCCAACAAGGCCCTCCTCGGGACCTTCAAAATCTGTGTGCTCTGCTGTGACCTCATGCCCGCTGGCACACCCCCTTTAATCCCTTCCCAGGCCATCAAACCTTGTGTCTTGTGGTAGGGCTCCCAGCCTGAGGCACTGCCTATTAAAAGGTTATTAATGTAGCTGTGAGGTCACTTTAGTTTTAGGGTTTTGTTTTGTTTTGTTTTGTTTTGTTTTTTGGAGGGGAGGCAGGAGGAAGTGGGCAGCCATGTCATACTGTTGAGTTGTCCTGAGCTTGAATCCACTGAAACCCCCAGATCTTTTTCAGATAAACTGTTGTCCTCATTTCCCAGCCATTTCCAAGCCTGGAATCACATGATGTTGACCTCCCTGAACCTCTGGGTCAAGTTATGGACCCTTCAAGCCATCCAGAGGAGGTAGGAGCCGAGATCTAGAGGTAGCCCCAGGAAGCCTTGTTATGGCGGTGGGGGACAGTCCAGGGCCTCCAGCCAGGAACATCTTTCCTTCCCCTTGGATCCCTCCTCCTAATGCCCTGTGGCAGAGAGCCTACGATTGGGCCATCCCGGCAGATGGGCTGTAGGGACAGGAGAAGAAAGTATTCAAAGACCTGGAGGTTTAAATCCATGACATCAGCACATGTTATCATCCCATCAATATCACCCGTGTTACTCATGGCAAAGTTCAAACTTGCCCTTCCCCTGTTTCATAACCCATTAGGCCCCATGGTGCTCTCTTATCCTTTCCCCAAATTTTCCTCGGAGAAGGAGGAGGATAGTGTGGGAGTTGGGGCACACATCTTGACTATGCCTTCTCCTGAGAACAGTCCTGCCCGGAGTATCACCTCCAGGATCAGGCTAGGGGCTGGCAGAAAGGGAAACGATGCCTTCCCAAGGTTACCCTTATTTCTCAGGACCCTCGCTGACCTGGCCGAGGTGACTGACCGTCAGGGCCAGGATTGGAGGACAGCTGTGAGTCAGATCTACCATGCCAGGCAGCACTGCCTCCTCAGGTCTCCCTGGGCCCATTGGAATGCAGTGCTGCCCAGAGGGAGGCCGAGACATCAGCTGACCAAGGAGGAGGAAGGCACCTCTGTTGGCCCCAGGCCCAGGACCAATGCCATCTACCTACAGAGACTGGCCCTCAGAGGGTGCCACATCCTGGATGCAGACCCCGATGCTCTTGGGAAGCAGGTGAGGCTAGGTGAAGGGGGTGGGGCAGGGCCTTCAGCATCCAGGATTGTGGGTAGGGTCAGGTGAGTTGAAGTCCCATTGGCCTGGATTTCTTAGCCTTTGACATCACAGGAGACTGGCAAAGTGAGAAAGGTGCTAGATTTGAAAGCTAAAGATGTGAGCTCTAATCCTGCCTTGGCCACTTAACTCCCTGTTACACAACCTTAGACAAGTCATTTCATACACATATCCCCTCCTAGGGCCTCAGTTTCCTCATCTGTCAAATGAAAAGGCTAGTCTAGATCATATCTTAAGTTCCCCTCCAACTCTGAAATGTGGGAAAAGTTTAGTAATGTGAAATGTTAGAAATTTTAAAAGATTTCCATTCAAAAAGGTTAAAAGAAAGTTTGACATTTAAAAAGATGAGTTCACTTATCTGGAAAATTCATGCATGAGCAACTGACAAAACTAGATACCACCAGTGTATTTTGCTGTTATTTCAACTGTATTTTATGTTCTGTTTACAGAGCAGCTTTTTTGTTTTACATTTTTTGTTTTTACTGAAATATCTTGCCTTCATATCACCTTAATTTCTGAATCTATCACCCTCTCCAAACCAGAGAACTATCCCTTTTAAAAAATACTGAAAAAGAAAAGGGAGAAAAAGCAAGTCTGCTAAACTAACAGATTGACTGAGCCTCACGGCGTATTCGGTGTTCCACACACATAGTTTTCCCTCTACCGACAAGGAGAGAAGAGCAATTTGGGTTTCACCAAGTCCATTTTACAGGTGGGAAAATTGAGGCTCAAAGGGATCATAGGATCCTAGATTTTGAGATGGAAGGTATCCCTAAACTTATCTAATCCAACCCCCTCAATTTATATTTGAGGAGAATGAGACCTAGAGAACTGAGTGACTTGTCGAAGGTCACGTGGGTGTTACCTGGCAGAGCCAGGGATTTGAACTCAGGTCTTCTTGACTCCAAATCTAGCACTCTTTCTATTGCACCATATTGTATCCTGTGAAGTGACTTGAAGTCACACAGCTAACGTAGCTAACATATACAGCACCTACTATGTGCCAGGCACTATGCTAAGCGCTTTATTATCTCAGTTAATATTAAATCAGTAAATATTTTGAAACATTTTTTCAGTTTTAAATATTAAAATTTAAGTTAAAGTATTTAAATATTATCTCAGTTAGAATTAGTGTTTGGGCCTGGGACCCATTCATAGCTCAGGACTTCTTCCACTTACCACCCTGACAGTAGCAAATTGCCCACCCTCCTAGCCTCAGGCACACACAATGGGATTTAGGAGCCTCTCACCATAGGGTGGGCAGAAGTAAGTAAAATTGCCTCAGACCATCCCCTGGCTCTTCATCAGGCTTCCCGTAATGCCCCAGAGAGGCACAGAGTGCAGGTGTGGATGATGAAACTTGAACTGACTGCACTGTGTAAACGTTGGGGCCTGACTAGAAATGGTTTATCTGACCCTGAGATCATCAGTTTAGAGCTGGAAGATTGAGCACTCCCTCTTTTTACAGATGAGGAAACCGAGACCCAGAGAAGAGGTTAAATTAATGCCTAAGGTTACACATCTGACTGTGTCACTCTCTTACTCAAAAACATATACAGTATATGGCATACCATCTAGTGAGTTCAGTCCAGCCAAGCTGGCATAAGCCCACTTGACGCTGCTCCCTGGCCTGCACTCAAAGGCCCTCTCTGAGCTAAGGTTTTCCCCTTCCTCCTCTGCTTTCTCTCAGGCCGGCAACTACTGGACAAGGGCCACAGCCCCAGCCCAGGCCAAGAGGAAACCCCACAGCCACATTGGACAGAGGAAGATGTCAGTGTCTCTGGGTAAGGAGGGCTGCTCTGGCTACAGTCACGTTGGACAGAGGAAGATGTCAGTGTCTCCAGGTAAGAAGGGCTGCTGTGACTGACGGGTCAGTTTTTGATTCTCCCTAGAAGAGGAAAGGAACAAGCATTTATTAAGTACCTATTATATGCCAGGTACTGTGCTAAGCATCCCTCTAGATCCTTGCAACAACTCTGGAAAGAGGATGCTGTTATTATCCTCATTTTACAGTTAAGGAAACTGAGGCAGACGGATAATGACTTTCCCAGAGTGACACAGCCAATAATAGCTAACATTTATGTAGCACTTACTAGGCACCAGGCACTCTGCTAAGCAGTTTACAATTGTAATATCATTTGATCCTCACAATTCAGGGTAGGGGGAAGAGGAGCTATTATCCCCATTTTACAGGTGAGGAAACTGAGGCAAACAGAGGTTAAGTGACTTTTCCAGGATCACATAACTAGTAAGTGCCTGAGGCTGGATTTGAACTCAGGTCCTCCTGACTCCAGACCCACACTCTCTCCACAGCACCAACTGCCTCTAAGCAGCCAGAAAGAGCTTCCCCACCTCTTGAATTATCCAGAGAGGTTTGCATAGAGTTGGGCGGGGCCTCAGAGGCCTTCTCTGTGGCATACCTGCCCAGCCACCTCCAGTGACAAAGAACTTGCTAAGCTCCCTCCCCAGGTTCATAGACTTAGAGTGGAAAGGGGCCTTGGAGGCCATCTGGCCCAACCCCTCATGTTGCAGATGAGAAAACTGAGGCCCAGGGTAGTGAAGTGGCTTGCAGGTGGTAAATGGAAGAGACAGGATTCGAATCCACACCCTCTCACTTCTAATCCAATGGTCTTGGTTCTATCTTAGCGCATTTCAGGTTTAGATTGGTTTGGTGGTTTTTCTGTAACTTCCACCATTGTTCCCAGTCCCACCCTCTGGGGAAAAGCAGGACAGGAGAAGAGGGACGGTTCACATAATTGAGGCGCTTACCTCGGTGCCCCCAAGTCTGCTCTGCACTGGGCAGTTTCTTCAACCAGCCTTGGTTTCCGGTTATCTTTTTGTTGCTGTTTAATTAAATAAACCCTATTGGCTGAAAGTTGGTGGAGTCAGGAATTGTTCTTACAATTCTTCCCACTGCACTTTCTAGGGCTTGAGCCAAAGCAAGAGTTGATCACTGGCTGCTTTGCCCTGGACTCTTGTCCTGTTACTTACCTTCTCTTCCCAGGTGGCCCAAAGCAGAGCTTCTCGCTGCTTTCTTCCCCTCGCTTGCCTCTCCACTGTAGTTCCTTCCAGCCTTGGCTGCAATTGTACCAAAGGCAAAGCAGAGCCAAGGGACTGACCAGCCAGGAGGGGCCTAGGAAGTCTACTAGAGGACAAGAAGAAGGCAGCTCCAGGACTGTCCAGATCCCCAAGAGCAGAGCCCACTGGAGGGCAGCAGCGTTGGAGGAAACATGGCTGGAGTAAGAGCAGCTTGTCACCTAGAACCTCAGAATTTTACACTTAGAAGGAACCTGAGAAGCCATCTAGTCTAGTCTGTACCTAAGGATCTTTTTTACAAAAAAGTGGTCACCTAGCCTTTATTTAAAGGCCACACAGTGCAAGGGAGCCCACTCCCTGTGATACAGTGGAAAGAAGACTGGTTCTGGGTTCAGAAGAGCTGGGTTCAAATTCTACTTTTGATTCTTAACCTGTGCGACCTTGGGCCAGGCCCTTAACCTCCCTGGGTCTCATTGGGAGGCTGGACTGCATGGCCTGTAATGTCCCTTCCAGCTCTAAAGCTAACTTCCCAAGACAGCTCATTCCCTTTTTGGCAAGATCTCGTTGTCAGGAAAGTGTTCCTTACACCAAGCCTACTTTTATCTCTTTACAACTTCTGCCCGTTTACTCATGGAGGAAGGCAAGACATGTCTCATCTCTCTTCCCTGGAACAGCTGGGAAACAGCTTTCCCTTCAGGTTCCTAAGTCTTCTCAACACTAACCATCCCCAAATCTTTCAACACATCTTCATGTGGCATAAACTCAGGGTCCTTCACTAGCCTGGGAAAAGTCATAATAGAGACTTGGAGAAGGCAACTTGCTTATTAAAATGGCAGATGGTTGTGGCAGGTCCAGGACTAGAACCTTGTTCATAAGTTTATCAATTGAAAACTAAAGAGAACCTTGGAAGTTCAAACTCTTGGTTTAGGGTTTTGGTTTTTTTTTAATTTTTAAAAGATTTATTGATGGCTTTTGTTTTTGTGTTATTTTTGTTTTGTTTTGTTTTGTTTTGTTTTCCAACTGTCCTTCCCGGAGATACTCCCTCTCCAGTGAGCCTTCCTTTGAAACAAAAAATTAAGCAAAACGAACACTTTGACATAGGCATAGGGCCTTGACATGAGGCTTTCTCTCCAGGAGGAAGTACCTACAGAAGTGGAGACACGAGGCGCTGCTTCGAAGATTTCATGGCCAGCAAAGGAAAAGGAGGCTGGCAGAAGTCTGGCAATGCTGGATAGATGCCCAGGGATCAGAGCAGCTGGCACGGACATTGGTGAGCCTTGTTGCAGGGGATCATTGAATTATACTCTCATGGGTCAGAAGGGACCCAGAGGTCATGTCATCTACTTCAGGCCAGCCAGCCCTAATTCCAGTCTTTTTTTAAAATATTTTATTTTTTCCCAATTGCATGTAAAAACAATTTTTAACATTTTTTAAAATTTTGAGTTCCAAATTCCTTCCCTCCCTCCTCCTTGAGACAATAAGCAATTTGATACAGGTTACACATATGTAATCGTGCAAAACATAGTTCCATATCTAATTCCAATCTTTAAAGATACCAAATAGATTCTGTTGGGTTACACTTGCTGAGAATCCTCTCATGCAGTATATCCCTTCCTTGTACATAATCCTTAGAACTGCTGGATCGGGGCAGCAGCTGTCATTAGGTGATGCCCACGTAATGTCCTTAGGTGGGCCCCCCCTCCTGACCTCATGTTGCCCTTGTACAGGTCAGGCAGCGCTGGCTGGAATGGGGCTGGGGGACGTGGCGGAGGCGGTGGCTGCAGCTTCAGGTGGCCCTGTGTTTGCAAGACCACAGGGTCCTCTCTCAGGTATCCGTGACCACCAGGTGACGACCCTAAGACTGGGGACGGTGTGTAGGTAGTTCAAGGCCTATAGGACTACATTCCGAGCACCCTAGCTGCATTTTCACCAGGACTGTGCCCCTCCAACCACGCTGCCCCCTGTTCCACCCAACGCATAGCAAGGAGAGGCATTAGTTTCTGTTGAGGTGGTTAAGGGAGTTCAAAAGTTTTGTTTCAAGCCCCAACTTCATTCCTCAGATGCCACCCAAGATTGTCCTGATCACAGAAACAGCTGCCAACAACCCTCCCCCACTCCATTCCAAGTCTTATTCAAGGCAAGGGACAGATGCCTGGCTAGTGCGTGGTAGTGCACCCCTTCCATTCTGAGCAGTTTTCCTATAGATCTTTCTAGATATTCTGGGCTAATTCCGCCCTGGGTGGGCTAGCTGCCCTCTTGGGAGTGGAGGGCCTTTTTATTTAGCTTTCCTAAGGGGGAGGGGCTGGAACTCAGCTGTTGCCTCCTCTTGGCATGGACAGGCTGACCCTGAGGCTGGGCAGGGCGCCATGGACCAGAGTAACTAAAGATAGGGTTTCATTTCTTTTGCCCTCCCGCCCTTGTTTTCAGGCCTTTGGAAGATGGCACCAGTGCTGGGCAGCCCGGGTGCCCAGGAGAGGAGGTACCAGCTAGTGATCACGGGTCAGCACGTGAACCGTTAGGCACAGCATGTAGGGACGGAGGGCAGGCCCTGCCCAGCTGTTGTTGGTGCTTTCCTCAGGCGAGGATATCCAGCCCTGCCCCCATCCTGTCCCATTCCACCCACCAGGGCTGGGTAGAGAAGAGCCCAGCAAACTCGTCTGGTAATGCTTTTATGAAAAACAGCTCTCAGGGGCAGAGACCCTGACTTCAACAGATAATAAAATACCATTCCTTTCCCTGCCTCCTCCTGGCTTTTATCTGCCTGAGGGCCCAGCCTATTCCGGTCAGATCTGGAGCACTGTGTTTCAGTGCTGGGGTCCACATTTTAGGATTGACATTTAACCAGAGGGTGACCAGGATGGTGAGGGGACCAGTAACTTGTCATGTGATGATCTACAGAAAAAACTGAAAACTTGGGAATCGGAAATATAATAGCTACCTTCAAGTGCTTTTATGTCGAAAAGGAACGAGCCTCAGAGGGCAGAAACAGGAACAATAAAAGGCAGATTTAAACTCGTTACAAAAACCAAATGGGAGCTTTCCAAGGTGACTGGGCAGCCCAGAGGTAGTGACTTCTAAGTGGTCTGGGTCTTTAAGCAGAGGCTGGGGAGGCTCTAAGGAGGGTTCTGCCAGGCTGGTGGTCTAAAATGACCACCAAAGTTCCCCAATTCTGATTGGGGGAGCCCCCTACCTCCAAGAAATAGGCAGAACTGGGGCCAGGCAGTGCGGCCGGGAGTTAGGTTCTCCCCCTCCCCAAGTAGCCCTCCTGTTTCTGCTTTGCAGCATCTGCTTCCTTCTGACCATCCCCCGTCCCTCCCTCACGAGGTTTTCTTTCTGCTGACCCAGCACTGGCTCCAAGACAGCTGATCTCAGCTATAGAAGGGGAGCCTGGAGGGTGGGGTGGGGAGGATGGAGACAGGCCTTTCCCTTAACCCTGTCCCTGCCACATAGCGTGATTGACCCAGCAGTGGAAAGTGCTAGTTACTGACATTCATTCACTTACAAGACAAATATCTTTAGAAGAAAGAGGAAAAAGACTGAGTAGGTCAGACCTGAGCTTGGTAGAGGAAGAAGAGGGTAGCCAGTGCTGGTGAAAGGACTCCCTACGAGAACACAGGCAGGCCCATTACTGGAAGAGGAAGTGAGGGCCCCGAGGCTGCTCCAACCATGTGACTCACCCCTCTGCCCTCAAGGGTCATCGACTCTTGCTTCTCCTCTACCTCCCTAAGGAGGAAGATGAGGGCAGGGGCCCCAGGGAGGACACTTCTGAAGGGACTTGAAACTCCATAAGGTGTTTTCTTCCAAACCAGGAATCTATGGAAACAAAGCAGCTTATGGTAGAGATAAAAGAAGGCTAGTGCAGTGGACAGAGGGCCAGTCTTGGAATCAGGAAGCTGAGAGGCAGAGTCCACACTGGGAGTTTCCCAGACAGATTAAACACAGGTCAATCAGGAAAAGAAAAATGGAAGTAAATATGGAACCACAGCCTTGACCAAGGCTTCAATAGCAGAGGGTAAGGACGGCTTACGGTGGTCATGTGACAGCCCGAGGTTCGTGTGCTTGCCTAAGAAGGCAGAACAGTTCTTGCTTGCCTCTCCTTTCATAGATGGGGAAACTGAGGCAAGAATTAGGCCAAGGTCCCTGAGGCAAAAGGACCTCAAAGTCTAGCATCCGTGTGTCCAGTCACAGTCCCATTTCTCCACACATAGCGGGGCATTTCCAGTTTCGTCTGGGCCCTAAATATCAGTATGTGGCCCAGGAAGACAACAGAAGGACAGTTTCTTTGGAAGGCCCAGCTGGCTAGCCAGGCACTCTGGTCCAGTGCTCACAGTCTCAGGCCACGTCTCCTCACCAGGAAAACTTAAAGGTGGCACTGGATGGCCAGTGCTTCTCCATGGCCTCGGGTCGAAGGATGGAGTTACTCCCCAACAAAATTGTAGTGTAGGGGAAAGCCCCCCAAGGCTCGAGTGCAGAACAGACTGGTTGAATCCAAGCACGAAGGTCAGCAACCAGCCTAGCAGCCATCACTGGGGGAGGGATGGGGATGGGAGCCAGGGCGTGTATGACGGGATGGGATGGAGAAGAAAACAGCTGGAGAATCCTTAGAGAAACACAGGGAAGAGAGGAAAGACAGGATGCCAGGAAGACGGCCCACTCACTGCGGGGCTGGCTTGCTGAGGAGCTCAAAGGTGTCTTCTAGGACCTGCCACAAACAGTTGTCCAAGGGGAACTCATTGTCTACTAGGTTGACCAGATGATAATTGTCATGGATATACTGGATGATCATCCGTGATGGGGATTCCTCTTCATACAGCTTCCCCCATTGCTCAATCCACAGGGCAAAGGCCTCATCCTAGACACACACACAGAGACAAGGTCAGCGATAGCTGTGCTGGGGTCAGACAAGAGGCGGGGCTCACAGGCTTTCTCTCCTCTTCATCCCTCTCCCTCTCCCCTCCTCACCCCCCCCACTTGATTTACGGGATGTCTAAGAGCAAAGCAAAATGAATAAGAGCCTACAGGGCTTCAGCTAAAGGGGAAATGCCACTTCTGGCAGAAGACACCTTCTCAAAATGCCCTTTGACCAGGAGAGAGAGGCACGGACAGCCCCAGGAATGGGGTTGGCTAGGAAGCCTCACGCGGCAGGTCAATTGAAAGCAACTCTGCAGACAAGTTTTCACCAGACTAGACACATATTATGCATCAGCTCACCTTCTCCCCAAGGACAGCCAGAGAAAACACTGAAAGTCAGTGCTCCCCACCTTGGAATGTCTGGTAGTCTCCATTAGCCCCATTTGAGTGGTCATCAATGACACGGACCCAGAGAGAGAGAGATAGCTATAGGTCAGGGAGGTGGGGCAGAGACCTCCAATTGTCTTTACCTTCCAAAACATGAAACTGACAGGATCCACCACCGTGGGCTGAATGATCTCCCGCCCGGGGAAGATGCCCCATGTCACAGCATTGGGCTGAAGGTCAGGGGCATTGGTGATGTTCTCACCCTGTAGGAAGAAAAAGGAAATGGCAGAACTTGGGAAGAACATGAGGACGTCAGACACCTTGCAGGGACCCTTTCTTCAGTAGGAAGGAGCACCAGAGGGCCCTGGTGCCACTGACGGGTGAAGCCAATTGGATACTGGACCATGTCTGGGCACCGCCATGCTAGATTCTGAAATCACCCCTTCCCTCCCTTACCTTGACATTGACAATGTGGTAATTGACACGGAGCTCATATTTCTTTAGCACTTGGAGAAGAGCTGCCACTGTTTCACTGGAGGTAAAGAACTCCAGATAGGCCTGTGGGAGAAAGGCAGGCATCACACAGGTCACTAAAATACCCCATTCAAGGACCTGGGGAGCCCCACAGAGATGAGCTAAAGTGGTCTCCAAATGGCACAGGAATGCTGACACCCAGAAACCAGGTCAGATCACATCAATGCCTATGATATTAGCATGACATACAGCCAAGAGGTGATATATACTGGGAGAGAGAAGGGTCCTGAACAAGGGGTATTGGAAGGTATATGTGCTGGGCGGGATTTGCTACTTCTTTCCCAATTGGTGATGACTATGAAAGAAGTGGAATTTGAGGGATCAGCTGAGTAAAAGGAGAAAAGTCTGACTTGCTGGGGTGGGGATGGTAGGACATCTCCTGAGGATATATTGTAATACCTTGAATTTCTATTATTTACTTTCAAGTCTATGGTTTCTTTTTATCCCCAACATCCCTGGGAGGTAGAAGCAGACTTCCCAATCGCAATCCCACCACTATCATTTCTAAAGCCCTATGAGGTTTACAGAGTAAACCTGTCCCTTACAATAACCCTGTGAGCTAGGTTGTATAAATATTGTTCCATTATACAGATGAGGAAACTGAGACTCAATGAGACCAAGTGGTCATATAGGTGAGTAAACACTAAAGTCAAGGAACCTGGATTCCTATCCTGGCTCTAAATTGGGTGCGTCTTCCCCAAACTGTACCACTCCTTATTCCTGATGAAAGATGTCACCTCGGGGGAAAAAGAGAGAGCCTGGGATGGGGGAGGGGGCGGAAGGCTACCTGTTCTTTCTGAGCGTTCAGCGCTCAGACCCTGAGTCACAGGGGAACAGGGAAGGCCCTACCTTCTGGAAGACATAGCCACCACTGGGGCCCCAGCCCACAATGGGGTCAGTGGATGGCTTCCCGTTGATATTAGGCTGAGAGTTGATGGTGAGGATGCCTCGCTGATTCACCTTCTGCAGCTCCTCTTTCATCAGGCTGGTCTCCGCTGCCAGAGGCTCATCGTTCCAAGGTAAGCAAGTCACCTGGGCAGTCAGGCCGTAAGGTAGGGAGAGCCAAGGGTATGAACAGGCATGGCGCCAAAGGCTTCCCAATCCACCAGGCAATCCCTAACCCTCCTTCCCCAGCCCCAGCCTGCCCAAGGTATCTGTGCCAAAGGATCCCATTCCATCACATCTTCTCCAGCAGACTGCCCCATCATCCCCCTTGCTTACTTGACTATCTTCCTGGCTGCTGGCTGCTTCCCTAAGGCCTAGAAACATGGCTATGTCTCCCCTGTCCTCCAGAAACCCTCACTTCATTCATCCACTCCTGCTAACCATCTCTTTATCTCTTTTCCCCTTTCTGACTAAATTAGAGAAGGCTGTCTGCAATCAATGCCTCCACTTCCCTCCTCTCCTTCCCTTCTTAATTCTCAGCAGTCTGTTTCTGTCCTCACCCTTCAACTGAAGCCAGTCTCTCCAAAGTCACCAATGATCTCTTAAGTGCCAGATTGAATGGCTTTTTCTTAATATTCAACCTTCATGGCCTCCCTGAAGCCTCTGACACTGTCACTGTTGACAGTGACTTTTTTGAGAGTCCATCTTCTCTAGGCCTTCTCCTGGTTCTCCTTCCCCCTGTCTGACCATCCCTTCTCAGTCTCCACTGCAGCCCAGGTCATACCCCTCCTCTCCTGGTCCTCTTCTCTTCTCTCTCTATACTATTTCACTTGGTGATCTCTCTCTCTCTCTCTCGGCTAGACAATGGGGTTAAGTGACTTGCCCAGGGTCACACAGCTAGTAAGTGTTATGTGTCTGAGGCCGGATTTGAACTCAGGTCCTCCTGAATCCAGGGCCGGTGCTCTATCCACTGTGCCACCTGGCTGCCTGTTACTTGGTGATCTCATCAGTAACCATGGATTCAATTCTCATCTCTATGCTGATGATTCTGAGATCTGCTTAACCATCCTAACTTCTCTCCTGACTCCAGCCTTGCATCTCTAACTGCCTATAGGACACAGCAAACTAGAGGTCCCACAGACATCCTAACTCAACATATCTAAAGCTGAACTCATCCCCCCCCCAAAGACCCCCCCCCCTCCAACCTCCCTATTTCCGTCCAAGGCCCCCCCCCCCAGTCACCTAACCTCACAGCCGAGGGGTCAACTTCCACAGCTCACCTCCCACATCCAATCTAGTGCCAAGGTCTGGTGATTTCACCTTTGCACCATCCTTCAAATTTGCCCCTTCTCTTCTGACACAACCCCTATCCCGGTGCAGGTCCTGATTACCTCATCCCTGGATTACTGCAATAGCTGCTAGTGGGTCTGCCTGCCTCAACTCTCTCCCCATGCCAGTCCTCCCTCCAATTAACTGCCAAAGTGATGTTCTTAAAATGCAGATCAGACCAGTCACCCCCCCATATAATAAACTCCAGGGGCTCCCTGTCACCTCCAGAATTAAATTTTAAAGTCTTCCATTTGGTATTCAAAAACCTTCAGAACCTGCCCCCTCCTATCTTTCCAGTCTGACCCCTACATACTCTGCCATCCAGTGCCACCGGCCTCTTGGCTGTTCCTTGAACAAGACAAGCCACCTTTCAACTTCAGGAGTTTCCCCTGGCTATCCTCCCTATCCTTAGACTTTTTTCCCTCCTCATCTCCACCTCGTGGCTTCCTTTAGGTCCCAGCTAAAATCCCACCTTCTACAGGAGACCTTCCCCAGTGCCTCTGAATTCCAGGGCCTCCCCTCTGCCAATTCTTTCCTATTCATCCTGTCTCAAGCCTGTTTGTACAGAGTTGTTTGCATGTTTGTCTCTCCTCCATTAGACTGTGAGCTCCTCGAGGCCAGGGCCTGACTTCTGCCTTTCTTTGTATCCCCAGCACTTAGCACAGAGCCTGGGCGCACAGCAGGGGCTTAATAAAAGTTTAGTGATGGCCTGACTGACTGAAGACAGCATGTCTACCCATGTATTTCTTCCTAAGAAGCATCAGCAGAGATGCCTAACTCTGCCAGCCCCCAGAGCCCACCTCTGTAGGTGCTTCACAAAGCTGACCTCCTGGTAGAGAAAGGGCAGGAAAACAAGCTGTGACGCCACACGCCCCAAGCCCGGGGGCAAGAAGGGGGACAGCCGGGGCAACTGAGCCCAGGCAGGGCCCCAGCTAAGGGCTCCTGCTCTCCCCTGCGACTCACTCTGTGGCCGCTCTGATTGGGTTCCCCAGAGAGATAGTAGGCAAACACTTTGAAGACGCTTTCTTCGCTGGTCAGCTCCTCCCCCCACATCTTCAGCAGCTCTTCCCTCGGGCACTTGCTCGTCAGGCAGAAGAGATAATAGTCCTTCAGCTCGCCAAAGGCCGGGGACGAGGAGTTCCCCCTGAAGGACAGAGCAATGGAACCATGGCACGACGCAGAGGCGAGAGGCGCCAAGGCTGGGGAACAGGGAGAGGGGACAACATCCACCTACCCAGGAGGCTGCCTCCCCAAAATCCATCTTTGGTTCCCAGGACCCTGTCCTTCCCCTGGAAAACAGCACTCAGCTGTGAATGAATCCAGGGGAAGTCCTCCTTCCCCAGCCTCTTCCTCCGACTCCCCAGAAGTGCTCACCAACGGCCATTGGGGAATTCATCCCACGCTTGGGTTCGGTAGATGTAGCTCTTCGGTCTGGAGGCCCAGAAGATGGGCCGGACGTCCTCTACTCGGCGCTTGGGATGGGCGCTGACAGCCCACGGCAGAGGCCGCCTGCAAGGGATGAGGACACGGGTCTGAGGGGACCAGCCTGGTGGAACCCCCTCCTCTGCCTGCTTCACAGCAAGAAGACATGGGGAGATCTTTATCAGAGGTGGCAAGATTTGGCTCCAACCGCTCATCCGCACGGCTGTCCGGCGGCCCGGGCCTTCCTGCTAGGCCCATAGCAGCAGCACGACTGCCCGCAAGAGTCCTCTGAGTGCCCTCACGTCCCTCTTTAGCCCGCCATGCTGTACCTGGGATCCTCGTTCCACATGCCTAGCCTCTTCAGCACCTCCACGGTGGCCACCTCCCGGTTGAGGGTGTAGAAGTGGAGGCCGGGCACCACGCCGCTAGCCAGCAGCTCCTGGCACATGGCCACAGCCAGCTCAATTCCATAGTTGCGGATGGCGGCGTCGTTGTCCTTGATCGGCTCGATCACGTCTTTGATTTCTTGTGGCACTTCCAGCTTGGAGAGCTTCACCAGCTGCCGCAGGGAGTGGTAACCCTGTCCAGGACATCAGGTGCGGGACGTGAACCCCGGTGTGCGCTTGCCCACCCCTCGCCCCAAGCCTCGGGCATTTGCAGTCCCTGAGCCTACGGGCTGTGTAACTGGGAGAGGGGAAGCCAGCGAAAGCCACTACCAGACAGGAGGCGGTTCTGCCTTTTATTGTTGGCTAGGCCAATTAGCGGCTGCAATATAGCATTTCCACTGCAATCACAAGATAGGGCTGTGATAACTCGGTTCATTATCACAGCATAACTGATAGCAGTCCAGCCCCACTTTACAATCCATCCCTCAGAGGCCCGTCTATTGCTCTGTGTGACTCATGGAGCAAGCCACAGTCTCCTCTCCTGGGCTCTTTAGCGGATAGAGGCAATAATCCCCTTGTGGCAAAAAAGTCACAGGGGCAAGTTTACTGGTTTGGTGGCCCTTCTCTCCTCCTAAGCGGGCCGGCCCGTTTTGTCTCAGAGGATGGATGGGAAGGAGCCAAAGAAGGAAGGAAACACGCATTTATTAAGTACCTACTAGGTGCTAGACGCTGTGTTAGGTGTTTGTTTGTTGTTTTTCCAAAAATACGAATCATTTGATCCTCACAACAACCTTGGGAGGTAGGTCCTATTTATCCCTATTTTACACATGGGGAAGATGAGGCAGAAAAAGGTGAAGTGACTTGCTCAGGTCCCACAGCTAGTAAGTGTCAGAGGCCAGATTTGAACTCAGGTCTGTCTTCCAGTCACCAGGCCCAGCACTGTATCCACTGAGCCACCCACCTACCTCTAGATGGAGAAACCAAGGGCCTGGAACAAGGGCGGTGGATCAGCCACCAGCGTCATGGCTGAAACACAGGCATCTGGGCCAATCCATGACCTGGAGCATGCAATAAACTGAGGCTCCCCTGGCCGCCACTGCCTCAGCGGGTGGAGGCGAGGCCCCATCATGCACACACAGCACTTTAGGGCTGGCCCATCTTTTTCTACACAACCACCCCGAGAGATAAGTAGTTGGAGGATTACCATGCACACTCTAGACAGGAGGGAGCTCAAGCCCTAAGAGGCTCGTGCCAAGGCCTGCCTGAGGCCTAGCCGATGTCTGAGGCAGGCTGCCCCAGCACCAAACTCACGAACCCGCACCCCAGGAAGCCCCTGACAAATGCATGGTGTGTTGGGCTCCATGTCCGGCTTCTGCCAGGTCACACTGCTCCTGGGACTGTGGATACACTATAAAAGTCAGCCAGCCCAGGGAAGCCAAAAGGCCAATGCTCAAGACTCCAGGCCTGGCCACTCTCCCTCACCCACAGAGATCAGCAAATTGCCCTATCTCTGTGTGCCTTGCTGGCATCACCGGCCACGTTGAGGCACTCACCTGGATGGGGAAGATTCCAGGAAGGATGGGACAAGTGATGCCTATCGCTGTACAGGCTTTGACGAAATTTAGAAAGGTGTCCACCTGGAAGAAGAGCTGTGTGATGATGAAGTCGGCCCCTGCAGACACCTTCTCCTTGAGGTGCTGAAGGTCCTCTTCAAAGCTTGCTGCCTCTGGGTGACCCTTGGGGTAACCTACCAATGGGAAAGATAATGAGGAGGTGCTACCCCTCTAGTCAGGGTACCACACATCTAACCACGGCGTCATCAGTCCTCAGAAATCCCTTAGTTCAACCTGGGATCCAGCTTCCCAGACAAGGGCTCCTCTAGACCAACGTGATGAGGCGATCAAGAAACGATGTCATATCAGGAACAATTTAGTCTGGAGAAGAAAACCCGGCTACTTAGAAGGAGCGAGCGAGCCATCTTCCAACATTTCAAAGGTTTGTCATCTTGACAAAGTGTCTTCCCAATGCCTTGTGGAGTCCGACGCAATACTCATTTACTGAACGTGTTCTGTGTGGTCGGCACAGTGCTCGACGCTGGGACTAACTCTGTTTTTCCAAAAGGCAGGTTTTAGAACCCTGCACCCAAAATCTCAGCATTGGGAGGGGCCTCCGAGGCCATCTAATCTCATGGAGGACATCCCAGCCTTCATTAGGAGACTCCGCTGAGGGGGGACCACAGTATCTCAAATTCAACCTGAATTCATTTCCCTCTAGACCCACATTTTCTCTAAACTTCACTATCTCTGGGAAGGCCCACCCCTCTTCCAGGTCACCGAGGCTCGCCAGCCTTGACATTCCCCTTCTAACTTTGGAGCGTAACGTGGGATAGAGCCGGACTCATAGCTGAGAAGACCTAGGCTCCAATCCTGCCTTGAGCAGATACTAAACTAGCTGTGTGACCCTGGGGAAGCAATGCAGCCCCTCTGACCTTCAGTTTCCTCAACCACACGTGAGGGGGCCAAACTCAGCGCCTCTGGGGTCCCTTTCATCTCTCGACTGAAAATCCTATGAACTCACCCAACCAACCAGCTGCCAAGTCCTCTCCATTCTACTTCCTAAGCTCTTCTCCTCTCCATCCCTCTCTTTCTATCTCAGGTCAACATGAGAACTCTGCCATGGCTGGAGGTATCCAAAAAGGGACTGGGCTGTCTCCAGAGTAGGGCGCTCACCATGGATGGCGATGGTCCAGCAGAGTCTGGGTGGGAAGTGATTGGCAAGGCTGGAGAGAGGAGTGCCCAGGGAAGGCTGCACTACATGACCTCTGAGATTCCTCAACAAGCTAAGACGCCAGGAAGCCTGGCCCATCGTGACCTTGACCTGCTGTGCATGGTGTTCTGATCACCTGAGGTGACTTTCAGTGCCACCGAGGCAGGGCGACAAGTCTGGGGAAATGACTGAAATTATGACGCATGTGGTTTAGGGATGGGCCCTTCCAGTGAAAAGGGTCTTGAAGTAGCAGAAGGCTAAGAGCCTTTTGACAAAGAGCCAAGAACTTCCAGGAGCTCAGGGCCCCTGAGGAGGGACAAGGAAATTCTAGGGAGAATGAGTGTGAATAAGAAGGAAGAAAAACCATCCCCAGGGGAAGGAGGGAATGGTGGTAGAATAGCATCACCAGGACTTGTCCCCTATCCAAGGTCCTCCATCCTCCTGCCCGCTTATTGAGCCCAGCCACTCCCATCGGCAGGGCCATGGACTCACCTGCTACACAGATGTCAAAGTAGTCACCAAACTCACTGCGGATATGTTTCACCAGGTCCACAGCGTGGCAGAAGCCGTTTTCTTCGTCCTCCCACTCATCTCCCATGGGGTCTGCAAGGTTGGTTGGGAGGCTATTACCACTGAGCCTCACCTAAATGCATTCTGTTCTAGGCAGGCCCTTGCTTCTTTCCCTCTGCCTACCAAGGGGACTGGAACCCCCTGCTCCCGGTACTGACCTGGCTTCTAAACAGACCTGTGCCTGGGCTTTTTCTTTCTAACCCGCCCTCACCTGACCTTGCACCCTCTTCAAGCTTGCCTAAGATTGAGGGTTTATGAGCTAGATGGGGCCTTAGACACCATCAGCTTCAACAACCCTGTTTATAGATGAGAGACTTGGGCATAGTCACCAGTGGCAGGAGGACAGCGAAGGCTCATCCTCGTCCCAAATCCCGGGCCTGCTTTTTTATTTGTTTGTTTGTTTGTTTTTTACTACAAGCTGTCTTCCAAAAATAAATTCTTTCCCTGATGTGGAACCCAACCCCCAGGTTCTCACATTGACAGGTTCTCTACTCTGGCAGCCATGACAGCAAATTTGGGGCAGGACCTTTCAGTCCAGGGTTGTGGAGAGAGTGTAAAGACATGAGTTCCTCCTCAAAGAATCCTTCTACATCTGACGGACCTAAAACAAACAGCTCCCCATGGCAGACATCTAGAGGCATACTAGCTATTCTCATACCTGGGTCAAAGTCCAAGAATTGTACCTTCTGATAGGAGAAGAATTAGGAACAGTGGAGAATTGAATGCTGGGGTAGGCAGTTGCTAGCACAAGGGAATATTAGGTGAGTCCTGGTTTATGACTCCCAGGCCCAGAAGTGCCTTGTCCCAGTGACTCTGAACCATGAATTATGCTTTGTGTCTGTACCATGCCTCATATAGCCTCAGCATCAGTACTACCCTGGCAATGCTACTAGCAGGGATGGCACCCTCAACATGCCCTGTATGAGACTCAGAATGCTATGGACATTCAGGTAATGTTAAATAAGCCCGATATAGGAGAAGAGGAAAAGGGGGTGAGAACTCTGAATCCCCTCCCACCCCACAGAACCAGTGAGGACAGAGCTGGTTTCCTACCTCCTCGCAATGCCAAGATATTCTTTAGGCCTAGCCGCTTGGCCTTGTGCAGGTGGCTGGTGATCTCATCCTGGGTCTGGTGACAGCAGGTCATGTGTAGGACTGTCTCCAGGCCACAGTAGTCTACAGCTGTGTTGGCGATAATCATGGATGAGGTCACCTTGTCTGCGCCAGGATCCCCTGCCGGGTGCCAGGTTACGTCCACAAAGAGGGGGCCACCTGCCCCCATGCGGTCAAACCTGTGGGGGTATTTTTTGGGGGAGAAGGTCCCTGGAAGTAGCCCTTTGTGCACTGACCCACCATTTTCCCACAGGCCTTGTGTGAGGGAAACTGAGGAAGATCTTCCCCAGCCCCTCATGAAACCGCCTCATGACCTGACATAAAGAATGTACAGTGGAGTTAACGTGCACGGCCGAGGTTATCGTGGAGACCCAACATTAAGTAACCAATAAACTATGTTACCTGGGAAAGCAATTCTGATCTCAAGGAACATTTTTCTTGAGAGAGGTGTGTAACGGTCCAAGGACCTGATCACTCCTTGGAGACTTACACAACAAACAGGCATTTGGGGCTCTAATCAAGCTCCCACCTTTGTTAGAATGTGTGCGTATCCAGGACCTGAGCGCTCACCAAGGATATATATGTACACAAAACAAAATATTAAGATTGTTTCTCCCTGGTTTACATGGATATAAAAGGGGCATCTGAAAGGGAATTTTTTGGAGTACCCTGATGTCAGAGATAGGGATGCTGATTCTCTATTGTTGTTGATCAAGGGCGGAAAGCGTGCATGGTCCTTGTTGTTTAAGTGCAGGACACTGCTCTTTTGGCCTCCTGATCAGACCTCTTGATCACCTCCAGTCTCCCTGGTCTCATAGGTATTTGAGCTCTCCTGGTCAGTGAGTGTGTATCCTTTCTTTTCTTATTCCTCCTTTTCTTAATTTTGATTATTACTTATTGCGTTGAATGTTATTCTTATCTTTATATGCTTGTGTTGTTTTAATCATTATTAATCATTGTAAAATAAATGTGATTGTTAAGTTTATACTGAGTATGTGTCATTATATCTTGAGGTTCAAACCTAAAGTGAAAAAAACTGCACAGTTCGTAATCCTTTCGATTACACCCTGCCTACATGGACCTAGGATTTGGGATGATAATAACAATGATGATGACAATGATACCACCACCAGCTGGCATTTGCACAGCACTTTGGACTTTCCACATAGCTTCCATATCAGCTTAGGTCAAGGGTAGGGGAAGCCCTAGAGCAGGAATGAGATCCCAGGGGCCCTCCCAGGAAGGGAGAAAGAGAATGCAGCCCAGCTCTGCCAGCACAAGTTACAAGCCCTCCTTGTGCACAGAAGCATTGCTGCAATCATAATACGTCATGTCTCTCACCCAATCTATTGCCTCTCCCAAGCCCCATTGCCTGGATCTAACAATACCCCCAACCTGGCACCCAAAGGCTCCTGAGCTTGTAACTGAATAACAAGGAAAACTGTTCATAAGACAAGTCTTTATGATTCTTTGTCCCTTTAAATGTTAATAACCTGGAATGTTATTTGTTAGAAAAGCAAAATGTCATGGCACATGAAAGTACAATCTACAAAGTGGGTTTTTCGTAATAGATAATGCAAATTTCAAGATTCTGATATCTTTTGTGAGGCAGCGGTCAATCTGATTTTCTAGCTCATTGAAAACATTTTCCAAGTCACTAACTTGCAACTTCCTAAGTTGTACTCATGAGCAGACTCCAAGTTCCTCCAAAGAATGTGGCTGAAGCAAGTCAAACAATGTTATGAACATGCTAACACTGAGGAAGGATCTCAGCTTGCTCGCCTCCCCAATGCCTGCTGGCCAAAGATGACCAGCCCAGACTCCCTGAGGCCAGCCCAGCCCCCTGGTCCTCCAGCTCACCTAGAGATGAGATTGACTGCTCCCTGGGCAGTTCGAGGAGGGAAAAACTCCAAGGAGAACCACTTGTCCCCTGATTCCATCCTCCGGTGCATCTTCTCTCGAAGTCGCTCGTGCCGTTCAGCGTCCAGCACTGGAGTGGAACAGCGGGAGCTGTCTTTGGAGCCTTCACTGCCACTACTGCTGCCCTCCAAAGAGCTGCTGCTGCGAGCTTCGTTCGCCATGGCTGGATTCCTGCAGCTGGGGACGGGAAAGGGACAGAGAGAGCATGGAGGTCACCTGTGGCCAGGCAGCCAGGTTTCCAATATACCCAATCCTGGGCACCTGGGTGGAAGAGAGTTCAGCCACGGAGTGACTGAATTTTTCCTTCAGGAGGAAGGGTATTGGAGGGGGAAGCTGACACTGCCTCTGCCCTGGGGTAGGTCTTGAGATTTCTTCTAGACCGGCCTCAGTCACCGCTTGGTTCTCTGCTGTTCCCCCAGCTCCATCGCCCACAGGCCCTTTCATTTCCTCCCCTCAGATTGTCTCCAAAACAGGCACACTACTCTGCAGTCCATAAAAGGCTCGAGGGCTAATCTCAAAGCTACCTGATAGAAGATGGGACGGAGAAGTACAAGCTACCAGTCTTCTGGGACCCCTTTCCCAGGGACCAAGAGCAGTGCCCATGAGGGCGGACCCTGCCTCTGGGATGTGACATGTATGGCAGCTCAGCCATGGAAGAATGGGCAAGGAGCAAGGAAGTCAGCCCTGGGTCTTTCCAGCTGGGCTGGCCGGCCTGGGCGGAGCAGTGACAAAGGAAGAGCTCCAAGCCAGTGCCTGGCTGGAGGAGGAGGGGGCAGGAGGACGAGGGGCGGGGCTGAGGCCAAGGGGGGGGGAGGAAGAGGAGAAACCTCCTGGGGAAAGCGGGGTGAACGCTAGCAGAGGGGGCTGGTAAGGTGGAGGAGGAGCCCTGAAGTTCAGAGGCACTGGTTCCATCTATTGAGAAGAAGGCAGTTGGACTGGCCCTTCTGGTTTCCAAGAAACATTTGCTGTTTCTTGGAAGGATGGTGTACAGGAGTAGATGAGATGAGAGACACCCCGCCCAGCCACAGGGCTTTTTTTTCCCTATGCCACCAAAATCTGTCTGTTTAGGGTACTTGGCACATAATAACGGCTTCATAAAGACCTGTGGATTTGTTGATTTAACCAATTCACAGTAAATGTTGGCACCCTATGCCTTAGATCTAGGATTTTTGTCCAAGTATGCCCAGAAGTTGGTGACACCAGACAGATTTCAGCCTGACAGAAGGAAAACACTTCCTAATGAGAGCAGCCCTAAAGTAGAACAGAGAGTGACTTTCTTAAGAGAAGACTAGACCAGAACTTGTTAGGAATATTGCAGAGAACATTCCTGTTCAGATATGGGATGGATGGAATAAATAATTTCTGAAAACTTTCCAGACTCTTAGGATTCTGGGATTTTTGTATACAATGACTGAATATCAACTGTGTAAAGCCCTTGCTAAGTATCACAGCAACCACAAACAAGATCCTTGTGTTGAGTTTAACTGGAGAGACTAGACACATATACCTGAAAAAGTCAATACAGACAGGACTCAGGCTATAAAAATCCATAGCCGGAGAGGGTGAGGAAAGCTAAGTCTCAGGAAATAATCCACAGTGCAACTTGACTGTGAGCGCTGAGGGAAGGATACCAAGCAGAGATGTGTAGATCAGCACGGAGAAAGGAGGGTTTTCGGCCCCTAGGTGGAGGGACTCACCTAACTAGTTTCTGTCTTCCCAGTGGTGACGGGAGTCTCCAACAATGATTAGGGGAATGCTGAGTTTAGCACCCTCCTCTGCTCCCATCCATCAATCGAGCCTCACAAGACTGTAGCAAGGAAAGCACTCTAACTTCAAAGCCTTTTGTAAATGGGAGCTATTGCGATCAGGGCTCGCCAGGAGTCAGCTTTCATCTGACATTGGCTGGATCCTTCGAATTATTCTGCCCACAGACACACAACCAGGTTTTCCAAATAGGAAGAATCTTCCAAATCTCCTCTAGAATCACAGTTGTCTTTTGCCTCTCCTTGGAAGTCCAGCACCTGGCACATAGCAGGTACTTAATAAAATGCTTGTTGATTTGACTCCCATAGTATTTGATACCTCTTAATAAACTATGAGATACAAAGTAAAAAGTGATTTGTGGAGTCTTAGCTCTCCTCCCTCCCAACTACACATGCCTTAAAGGTAGGTATCTAGGCTCGCACATCTTTGCACAAAGTTTCACATGCAATTATTCACTTGGGAAACATGCAGCATTGCAACCTACTCTCTTTATTTCCTACCTATTTAAAATAAGGCCATGCCCCAAAACAGCAAGAGTTAGGGCTATGTGCAGGGGTGTGCTGGTAAATGTTTAACAACCAGTTTGTTTGTTTTTTTTAATGCATCAAGAACATTTTCCCCATCACTTTTTTGAGTCTAGGAGTCAACAAAGTAGTAACTCAAGCCCTGATTTGTAATGGCTCAGGGCTGGCATAAGCTGGCTTTAGCATTCACCCCATGTTTATAATCTGAGTTTCCATGGACACTTCTCATAGGAGCCCTGTGAGACCAGCTTCCCAGAGCTTTGGTCAAGTTAGGTTTCTGGGGACTATAGAATGAAAGAGCAGCAGGGTGTTAAACCCCACTTCCAGCTGCCTACTTTAATTTTCCAAAGGCGTCAGGTGAGGAAGCTGGTTTATGAGACTGTAAACCTATCAGGTTTTAATGACTCCTTGGTGCCAAGAGCAATCTGAAGACAAGAGTTAGAGCATGGTCACGTGGGGGCAAATGTACACATCCCCATGCTCACTGGCTCCACAAAGATGAGAAGCCAATGTCAGCTGTTTTTCTTAGGGATGAGAAGAGAGACAAGAGGACATTTTGGGACAAGGCAGACCGGGACTCTTCCAAACCCAGACCAGGGCATAGTGGGCCATATTCCAGCCTCTTCATCATATTAAATAATAATAGCTAACATATATGTAACATTTTTGAGGCAGCTAGATGGCTCAGATAGAACACTGGACCTGGAGTCAGGAACAGCAGAGTTCAAATCTAGCCTCAGACACCTAGTAGCTGTGTGACCCTGGGCAAGTCACTTAATCCTGTTTGCTTCAGTTTCCTCATCTGTAAAATGAGCTGGAAGAAAAAATGGCAACCCACTCCAGCATCTCTGCCAAGAAATCTCAACTGAAAACAACTGAACAAGGCCCTAAGACTTGAGTTCAAATACAACCTCAGACATTAATTAGTTGTGTGACCCCAGCCAAGTCACTTAACCTGTTTGCCTCAGTTTCCTCATCTGTAAAATGGGAATAATAGTACCATTTATCTCACAAGGTTGTTGTGAGGACCAAATGAGATATTTATAAAGTACTTAACAAAGAGCCTGGCACATAGTAAGTGCTATATAAATGCTATTCTTTTCCCAATCAGTAAACAAGTATTTATTAAGTATCTACTAAGTGCTGAAGATTAAAAAAAAAAAAAGCAAAAACAGCCCCTGTTCTCAAGGAGCTCACAGTCTAAAGGGGGATAAGGTACCAATAAGTCACATATGGAGCAGACAGATGGTAACATCAGAGTGAAGGCATTAGCATTGAGGGGGAAGGGACCCCTCTCCAGGCCAAGTGCAGGGTATGTGATGGATGTACCAGGTGAGCAGGCTCCAGGAGCCGAAAGCAGAGTATGGGGTGAAGAGGAGGAGGTGGCCCATTGAGAATCTAACTCTTGGGTCCAGATGAAGGGTCTAGGTATGGGGAGAGGGTCCAGCATGGACGGAGCATAGAGACAGCCATGGGAAGGACCTGGAGGCGTGGAGGGGAGCGAGGAGCAGCATGGGGGGATAGGTAGAGGGGGTTGTAAGGAGAACAACAGGAATCGTAGGGGGACAACAGGGAGGATAGGCAGGAGGAATCGTGGGGGGATAGGCATGAAAGGACGGGCACAGACGTCGGAAGGGATCCAGCACCAGATAGGAAGGACAGGAATCAGACGGGAGACTGAGGGATCGTGGTGAGACAAGCATGGGGGATGGGGAGGCATCGTGGGGAGACAAGCACGGGAAATAGTCGGGGGATCGTGGGGAGACAAGCACGGGAGATGGGGGGCATCGTGGGGAGACAAGCACCGGGTCGGGGTGGGAGGGACAGGCGGATCGGAGCAGGGAAGGATCCTGCAGGGAAGGGGGTTAGGCGTGTCGTCCTTCCTCCTTCCTCCCTGGTGGGCCTCACCTCTCCGGCAGCTTCCAGTCTCGCACCGCCGCCGCAGCCATGACCGTGAGAAGGTGGGTGGTAGGAGGGCGAGCTAGCCCGCCAGGGGGCGGGGATTGAGAGGGGGCTGGGCCAGGAGGACCCACGCACCGCCTCCTCGCCCCAGGAGCCCCGCCCTCCGCCTTCCCCTCTTCCTCCCACTTCAGCCCGAAGCCCCGCCCCTCCTCCACTAATATGGCGGCGCCCATGAGGGTGGTGAGTCCACCGTCACATGTCACGGGTAGGAGGCCGACCGCCCCTCCCACGCCCCGGCCGCCCCCACGTGACCCAGGCCGGTCCAGTCACGTGAGACGCAAGCTTGCGCGCTCCTCGGGCGGGGCTGGGGGGAGGGGGCGCCGGGTGTCTGGACCGGGCAGAAGCAGAGGCGGCGGCCGAAGATGGCGGGGTGCAGGGGCGTCCTGTGCTGCTGCTGCCGCTGGTGCTGCTGCTGCGGAGAGCGCGAGAGCCGCACCCCGGAGGAGCTGGTACGGGGCCGGGCGGCGAGGCCGGGCCGGGCTGGGCCGGGCTGGGCCCAGGAGGGGAGGGGACGGGGCCGGGCCTGGAGCGTTGCTAAGGGCCCGGCGGTTACTAAGGAGCGGCGGCGGGAGGGGGCGTAGCCTAGGACGGAGCAGCCCCTCCCCATCCCCTTCCCCCTCCCCCTCGGCCTGCACCCCCCCAGCCCCACATCTCCCACCCCTCCGCCTTTATCCTTCTTTCTTTCCTAAGCGATTGTGAATGAGACGAGTACGAGGCCAGGCAGGGGCCTCCCCGGGTGACCTTGGGCAAGTCACTTCCCCACTCTGGGCCTCAGTTTTCCCATTTGTAGAACCAGGGGCCGGGCCAGGTGATCTCTAAGGGCCCTTCCAGCAGGGCTTCCCCCAGGTCTGCCATTGCTCCTCTCCGCGTCTTTCCCAATCTGTGCGTCACACTTGGAGGGAGAGTGCTACCGCCCCTGCCCTCAGGGAGCTTACGTGCTTTCCTCCAAATTGACTACCTTTGGCCTCTCTGAAGCACTTTCCGCGTCCTCGTGCCTCCCTAGAGACCAGCCCCTCCTCGGGACCCTAGAGTTTCCCTTCCCTCATTTCCCCTCTCTCGACCTCAGTTTCCCCATCTGTAGAAACGGGGTCAGACTATCCACTACGTTTTTTATAACTTATTGATCTTATCCTCCAACACCAAGGGTAAACTTCACCCCCCCTCCCCCCCCCCAATAATATACTAATAATATACCTTGTTCTGGGATCCTTTTTTTGCCTTTTCACTTGTTGAATTCTTGCCCGCCTTTAAAATCCAGCTCAAATACCGCCTCTTCCATCCATGACTCCCTTATACTCCCGGGATTTAGTACAGTAAGGGACCTCACGGGTCTTAAAGAACCCAAGACTCAGAGTCTTGCCCAGAGTCACAGTAGACAGAAAGCCCAGCTCCCCCGCCTCTG